TAGACTTACTCTGGATACCAGGTTGAAGAACAGCAACTGGGATTGCATTTATTCTCCCAAGACTGCATGGCCTAGAGGTGAAGTGGTGGGCACACAGATAGAGTTGGAGCAGAATGAACATTTAAACCCAAGAATCTCTAACTCCAAAGTCCATCATCTTGTTCCTCAAGCTTGTTTAATTTCTAAAGCAAGAAATACTTCATTATCCAATGGAGTATTTAATCTGTGGGCAAATAATAAAGGATATAGTAAAAGAAATGAGCTCAATTTAAAAATTTAATGAAAAATGTGACTGAGATAAGTTTCTGCTTGATGTCACCAAAAAGACTGCCAAACACAATCCAGTGAGATGATGGAGGTAGGCATGGTTTTTAAGCTAGGCTCTTTTGGTATCTAAGGACATACAGGGAATACAAAGTATGATGAAAAGATCTTAACAACTCAATAGAGCCACATCTTAATTAGTTCATTTTGATTCTAAGTGCAAACAAAGTCCCTCATGAAGGACTGTATGTTGGGTAAAACAGAAAACTGAATCCTCCCTGGTGAGGAAAGGAGAGTTACACCCTAAAGTGGAATCAAGGGTGATGTGCAGGTGAGTGCCTGTCTGTGAGAACAGCTGCTAGGAGGAAGCTGTGGTCACCTGGTCATACAAACTCCTAGTTGAATGGAAACATTCAAGTTTTCACTCTCCAGAGGTTTTTCTGTTATATTTCCAAGGACTTACATTAAATTATGGTCTTAGCCAACATTTATTGCACAACCACTTCTGTAGAAGCCAGAAGAAACAGCATGTAGTATCTTAGCTCACTTTTTACAATAAGATTAAATGGTCTTAGCAAAATGGAAATAAATAGACACTAGTTATTTAGAAAGATCTAAAATTTTAGCAAATACTAATAAAATTTGTATGAGAACCAATGAGTTCCACTTTTGCTTATGCATGGGTGACTTCCATCTCTAGAAAGACTGCCACTAGATAGGGTCAAGCATGGGCTTCTGAACCAGTTCTGGACTGTTCCATGAGGGCTTTCCAGGCAGACTCATGGTTCTGCCCACTCTTTAAATCAACATTAGCAATCTAGATTTAGTTTTTATACACAGATAAGTAGCTGTGTGATTTCATTATGTTTCATACATTTATAAACTACAGCCTCTTCAGACATAAATTGAAATGAAACAAAGCATACATAAATATATAATAAAGAATACACACATACATATGCATTTTATACAGATATGCATTTTCTCTGTTTCTAAGATATTTAATATTAGCTACAAATGTGTTGTAAAATAAGAAACACAAAGAAAAAAAAGATGAGAATGGATTAAAGAACTGCCTACCTCATATTTTCTTTTGACCATTCTTACTTTTGCATAATATCACTAATAAGCGACCTGCTATGATAACATTTGTAAAAATTAAATAAAGTAAATCGATAAAAGAGATAAAGCTTAAGCCAGGCTCTATTTCTATAAAATGATAGTAAAGTAGATATCTCTAAGATTTTTTTCTAAGTCCTAAAATTTTTGGTAGTCTTTACCATGTTTGATCAATAAAGCAATTATACTTCATGAAATAAAGTAATAAAGATGATTCTTGAGTCACACAAATTAAAAAACAGAAGGCAAAATATATCTGAAAGTTAAAATATCTGGAAATATCTTCAAAATATCTGAAAGTTAATGTTTGTCAGATGACTATCCATTCATATGCAGTAAGATATTGTGTTTTGCTTTATATATATTTACTTATAAAATGTAATTATTTTCATCTGATTATCAAGGATAATGGACATTTCTGTGAGAAGAGTTTAGTTTGAATCACATGAATAAATAAAATCAACTCTGATTTAAAGTAACACTCAGAAGTAGAAGATGATCTGATGCGATTGTCTGTACAAGTATCATCCATAAAATACAGGGTGAGTCCAGGCGCTGTGCAAAGTCATTTCCAGGGGGAAGCATGCCTGCTCTGCCTCCTCCCCACAGGCACCCCATGCCAGGGAGGGCTGTGATCTTCTGTGAAGGAAGCTGAGGTGTGGAGGAAAGCTGTGGAAACGAGAGTTACTGCCTCTTAGGAGGACAGCATTCAGGGGACATAGTGAGTAAATCTGTTAAGTAAATAAAGGGTTTGAGGAGAATAATGGAGGCAGGTTAAGATACCTAGATGGGCAAAGTACATGTGAAGAAATCTAGAGCTTAGAGACTGCTGGGTGCCAGAGAAAAGTTTCAAGAATTGAGACAAAGAATTTGGAGTTTCACAGGCTGTTTTAGGAAAAAAAAAACAAAAACAGAAAGAGACAGAGGCTGGGGCTGTAGCTCAGCAACAGAGCACTTGCCCAGCATGCATGAGGCACTGGGTTCAATCCTCAGCACCACATAAAAAATAAATAAATAAAATAAAGGCATTCTGTCCATCTACAACTACTAAAAATATTTAAAAAAACAAACAAAAACAGGAAGAGACAGTCATGTATCCATTGCAACTGTCAAGGCCAGACCCTCAAGCTTTTTTGAGTACAAGACCAACCATTTCTACATTCCAGGTGAAKAATAATTCACTTATTGATAAATAAATGCATAAGTAAATACATACATAAATAAATAACAGGAGTAGTAAGAGTACGTGTATTTTTGCTTTAGCAACAGGAACATGGGTGATACATATTAAACCATATTATAAGTTTGCCTTAAAATCTATGAATTTGAAAATCATTTACACAAATTCTTAGGATGCATAACTGTAATCAAAGGGTTAACCAAACAATCTGCAATAGACCACATTAATAATTGTTGAGCAAAATAAAATTTATAAGAAAAAATGAAGCACAGTAAAAACAGAAAATCATGACCAAGAGAAGACAGCCAGTTATAAGTTATCTTTACCTAAATTCTAGGGATTCTAATTTCTGGAGTATAAGTACACAATATAGGAAGCTTATAATATTCCCAACAACATTTGGAAGTCAAACTTTTATAAAAAGTTTATTAAAAATTTTGAAATAGCCAATCAGCTTGATTTTAGCTAAATTTCAATTTTGGAACCCTTCATAATTCCCAGTTTTATATAATAATGAAAATTTTTGGAATATTGTAACATTTCTTCATAGCAGACAACTTTAGTTGAGCACTTACTTATGAGCCAGGCAGTTTATGAAATGCTCATCATTACATTTATGAGACAGATCTTATTACCTTTATTTTATACAAGGGAACTGAGTCACAGAGAGACATATAAATAAACAAACAGTAAAACTGAGATTCAGATCCAAGCATTCTGACTCCAGTTTTCATGTTTTTAACCACTAGACTGTATTTCCTTGAGAATTTGCCTTTTTTGATACTTCCCAGACTTGGTTGGAAGACCTGTATACTTGCCAGCAGAGTGCAGACCAAATTCTGAGAATCATTTGAAATCATGATGAGAGCTCAAAATAATGCAAGGCATTGAGGAGGCAGAGTGGAAGTCAGAGATGGATTCTGGAGAAATTAAAGAATCAGCAGGCCTTGGTGACTGGCTGCCCATGTGGGTAGTGGAAGGGCAAAAAGAAAGTGAAGTCTCCGCATGATTTTTTAGTAAGACAAAGGAAGTTAGGGAGGAACTAGAGTAAAAAGAGAAAAATCTGGGGTGGAGATGGAGTTCAAATTTAATACTGAGACTTCAGCATTCAGGCCGAGAAGCCAGGAGAGCAGCTTGAGAAAGGAGCAGGTGGTGAGTGAGGCAGGGTGAAGAGAGCTGCCCCAATACCTGCATTGCTGGACCATCGCTATTACAGCTGAAATTGTTTCTAAGACATGAGTGAGGAATAGATGTGAGGTGAGCAATGTTGGGGAGGATGGTCAATATAAAATGAGAACCATCTTTCTGGAATGCTGGGGTATGAAATCAAGAAAACAAAAATGTAGGACCAGAGAAAATTAAAAGGCTCCTTCTCAGACCTGAAATCCCCCAAGGGTGCTGATCAGTGTCTTGTCTGCCATTCTTTGTTCAGAGAGCCTCCACTTGCCAAAACATTGTCATTTCCATAAAAGCATGCATCTTACTGATGCTGTAGATTTTAAGGAGCCCAGCACAATGTGAGACTGTCAAATTAGTCAGGGATTCCTCTCATTTTGACAKAAGTTGGGGGATTCTCTCACAGATGACATGGGTGCTTCAAGGTCTAAGGTTAAAGCTCATTAGACTGGCTCAACATAAGACACCTCATTAACACACTTCAAGCCAGCTCCATCCCAAGATGTCGAGGAAGGGAAGCAGAAGGAGGGAGAGAGCAAAACAAACCCAAGAATGGAGAACACTTGCACAAGTGTCTGGAACTAGTTATTAGTCATGTCAGCCTAATCGGATCAGAGGACTCCTTCAGACAAAAGAATAAGGGATTTGGGTTGGAAGCTCATTAGAATTTAGAGTGTTTAATTTCCTCCTTAACTTTAAGTGGCTAGAAAGGCAGAAATAAAGAATATGCCAATAAAATAGAGGTTTTAAAAACCTTTAAAATCAAAAAAGTCTGAAATTGCTGAAATCTAAAATATTTTAGGATCTTTTTCCCTAAAATTATTTGTAGTATATTCTATAAAATAAAATTAAGAAGATTGTTWAAAAAAAACAAATCTGGCTTGAACTAAAAGCAATGACCAGATGGATTTAGAGATGGTGGYTGAATTCTCCAAACTAAAATAAAGAAAATAGTTTCCTTTGGAAAACATCATCAAAATAATTTCCTTGTAAGTATTACTTTTCATTTACATAAAGCATGTCCTTTGAGGCCTGAGAATAATTAGAATTCGATGTAGCTGTAGCAATGATTAATTCACTTATCTTTATTTAGCTTTCAAATGTCTGCGATGACAGGACTTAGATGTGAGGTGAGCAATGTTGGGGAGGGCGGTCAACATAAAATGAGAACCATCTTCCTGGAATGCTGGGGTATGAAATCAAGAAAGGCTGGAATTCAAAATCACAATTCAAAACCAACAATGAAAAGCAAAATACTTACGATGTGGCACTTCCAGGGGATGTCCTGTTACATCACACCAGCCAATGGGGTGAATGTCAGGGCTGTCTGCCTCCTGCCAATAGTCATACTTATGGTCCCAACCATCAAAGTGAACCTGTTGACATGATTTTTAATAATTAATATTTTACTTAGTATTTTAGTATTCATGTATTAATACTTTTTAATATTTTTAGTTGTAGATGGATATAATACCTTTATTTTATTTATTTATTTTTCAGTGGTGCTGCGGATCAAACCCAGTACCTTACAAGTGCCAGGTACACACTTTACCACTGAGCTACAATCCCGGTACCTTCCTGTATTATTTTAAAACAAATTTCTGAAGCTGAGAATGAAATTTTATTAATTGCACCTTGCAGCTGAAACAATATTTAAAATGTGCTATCCCATAGCCTTCTGATTTAGCCAACAAATGATGTTGTAGCAATTCCTCAAAGAAATTAAAGAGGTTGGGAAGTAAAATAGTTGTCAGAGATACATTAGAATTAATAAACAAATCACATACTGCTGTTGAAGTGACACTTCCTATCCTGAGCACCTGTCCTGTCAGCCACTGGAAGCCATGTCACCATTGTAACAATAACAGTCACCAAATGGAGACCAGTGCAAGACTTATACTGATAGGAAAGGTGTGGATTAAATTATAAGGGAGCAATAATTTCCTAAGTCCTCACAAATAAGGAGAGACTCGGTGAAACAATGGAGGCAAGAGAGGAGATAAGACCTGTTACTGGGATAGATGGATTTTAACAGCTATCTACATAACTACTAAAGGACAAAATGCAAAGTGTCAGGAAATCTTCTGAGGCAGGAAATGCAGGCAGCAATCTGCTTGGTAGGGCTCTAACAAGGCTCCTTTATCATTGCTTTGTATAGATGGGCCAGACATACACACACAACTCACATGTGTACAAGCCTAAGAATAATTAAAATAGAGTCCAATTTATGAAATAAAAATCAAATTCTTCTTTAATATAACAAATACTATGTTCATCAAGTTTCATATTTGGATGGAAAAGTCCATTTTGTGTACAAATAAGAATGAAAAGACTTCATTATTATAGAACACTACTTATTCTCTTGTGTTTTCTAGTTTTAATTACCAATTAAATTAAGAATCTATTCTTTTCAATGCCAAAAGAATCCACATAATGTTTTGAAAATCATATTTTGAATTAATAAAATCATATTTTGAATAAACACTATCACTATATAAATCAATGGGAATATAAATCTATTATTCTGAACACAGGACCAAAAAAAAGCAAAACTGTATATATTGGGTCTTAATATTTTCCTGAAGATTCACCTTTCGAAGCAAGTACTTGTCAAAGTGTGGCACCTAGATCAGCAGCTTCAGCATTAGCAATGCAGATTCCTGGGCGTTACTTCAATCCTTCCAAATCAGAAACTCCACACACAGAGTGCAATGCAGGGCTGGTGAAGTTGCAGAAGCCTAGAGAACTGGATAAGGAACTACAAGAAGGGCCTTCAAAGATATGAGGGTTGTTCACAAGACCCTGGTTTGAAGGCTGCACTGCACATATAAGAAGGCACTTCTGTGTGGCCAACAAGAATAGCTGATATAGACCTGACAGTGAAATCAAGACAGTATGAATCACAATCTGCTGGGAGAAGAGAGACTAGAGTGGAAAGACCTCAGTGATATCTTGAAAATGTGACCAAAATACCCCAAAGGACTCAAATTGGAGGGAAAAAACCATGTCCTAGAGTAAGAGCTACTCTAAATCATCAAACCCTATAGAGGAGTAAAATCAAGCCTCAATAAGATTAAGAATGACTAGCAATTAACTGTCTGATGGACCAACTCTACCCTCTTTAAAAGGTAAATAAATGTCCCCACTGTATACTACTTCATTCATAATGTCCAACATACAATAAAATCATTAGACATATAAATAAGCAGGTTAATGTGAACCACAGTCAATTTTTTAAGGAAGGAATAAACAGAAACAGAGCCAGAGATGACCCACATGCTGTAAAGTAGACAAGGACTTTAAAGTTGCTTTTAAAATATGTTAAAGAACTTAAACACAAAGTTCTTAGTGAACAAATAGAGAATCTCAGCAGAGAAATGGAAACTACAAAAGAGAAACAAATGGAAATTTTAGAATTGAAAAGCAAAATGTCTGAAATTAAAAGATGCTGGATGGGTATAACATCAGATTAGAAATAGTAGCAAAATAGGTGGGTGACCATGAAGACAGACTTAGAAACCATTGACCCGAAGAACAGTTAACACATATAAGAGTTCAATAGTGAATAAAGCCTCAGGCACTTGTGAGAAAATATAAACTCTGGAAGCCAGAAATAAAGTACAGGGAAAAGATATAGCGGGAATAATTATCAAACTATCCAAACACAGAAAGAATGATGGTCACAATCTAATTTGGCCAAAAMCACGAATTTATAAGTTTAAAAAGAATGGGAAAACCCAAGCATAATAAATACAAATGACATCCAAATCAGGTAAATTATAGTGAAAGATACRAATCTTAAAAGCAAACTTGGCCAACTTCATCAGGTCAGTCCAGGATTTAAATGCTAAGAAAATAGTTTTCTAAAATAATCAAAAGAAAACTTTAGATAAACCAAAACAGGAAAACAATCACCTTGATTTGCATTCCCTTTAGTTTGAAATGGGTGATTCATATGGAAACTAATACACAGAAATAAATGAAATGACAAATGTGTGGGGAAATATGCAAGGCTAACTCAGCATTCTAATTGTAATTAACTGATCCAGTACATAACAGAATAAGGAAGGAAAAAATCTAGTCATATCCCTGGATAGAAAATACTTGACAAAGTTTAATATACAATGACAAACATTCTCAGCAAACTATAAATAGAGGTGGAGTTCCCTCCGTTTGACAAAGCAAGGGCATCTATGAGAGGCTTACAGTTAATATTGAACTCAATGATATTTTTATTGAATGCTTTTCCCAAAAAATCAGCAATGAGGCAAATTTATCTTTTCTTACCATGTTTACTCAACAATGTAAAACTCAAAAGATCAAAACCTTAAGATACAATTATGAAAATGGGATAGTCAAGGATTGATCAACACACAGAAAGCATTACTCATACAAGAAAAAAATAAGTGGTGGCACATGCCTGAAATCCCAGCAGCTAGAAAGGCTAAGACAAGAAAATCCTGAGTTCAAAGCCAGGCTAGGCAACTGCAAGGCACCAAGAGACTCAGTGAGACCCTGTCTCTAAATAAAATACAAAATACGGCTGGGGATGTGGCTCAGTGGTCGAGTATCCCTGAGTTCAATACTTAGTACCAAAAAAAACAAAAAAGAAGAAGAATAAATTAACAAATTCAGTATTTTATCAGAATCAGAAATTCCTGTTTTATTTTTAATCATCAGCTTAAAAAAAAAAGAAAAGAAAAGGCAAGCCACAGACGCTAGCAATCAATTTATTGGTAAAATGATGACTAAAAGTGCAATTGAAAGTGAGCAAAAGGTTAAATAGATGCTTCCAAATTTCACAAATGATTAAGAAAAAAAAACTTTAACATTCTTCTCAGAGAACATAAAAGGCAACATTTCTGCATACCCACCAAATGACTTCAGTGACTGACATTATCAGTTACTGGTGTGGCTGTGGATCTCCTAGAACACATATCAGTGGTAGAATGGGTATAAAAGTGTATAATCACCTTGGAAAATGAACAAGACAGGCCAAACCTGGAGAAGTCATGCCCATGCATTTCAGCTACTRTGCTGGACCTGTGAAACTTACTATTTTGGTTTTAGGTCTAAAACCAAAAAAAGTAAAATAATAATATCTTTCTCAAAGTTTCCCTGAGAGCAGATGCAATATATTTTATGGATTATTAATCAACATGCATTCTTATAATCATTAAGAAATATTCAGTTATCTTTTCAAGACTATACATAATTACTTATGATAATACTCCTCCTAATCCACTGGTGTGACACCCCTTTCACCTGCAAGGTTGCCTTAACTTGAAAAAACAATCTGCATCCATATGCATCCTTCTGAAAAAGACTTTCATTATTTGGGGAATTCATATTTCTGGAATAAAAATACAATTTAAAAAATTCTAACCAGATGCTCAAGTTAATAGAGGAGATTGACATCTGAAGGATATTTATTTATAAAGAGTCCTTTTGTACAGGAAAGAACCATTTTGAAAACCAAATCAAATCCAGCATCATATTTCACATATTTATGGTTTTTCACATATTTGGGATTGCATGAAGTAATTCCAGTTTTGATAAACTAGAAAACAAAAGTCAGATCACTGAATCAAACACCATTTCAAGTGCCCATCTTTAAAGACAGTAATGCTTTCTGGTGGTATTAACATCATATATGTTAGTTATCAATGAATGGAAAATGACTTGGAGATTCAAGAATTAAATTGGCATGTGAAAAACAAGGACTGATTCCTTAGTATAAATCTAAAGCTGTCAATCTGGCACTGTCTTTCTGCTTTGCCTGGTCATGACCACTGGGAGTTGTCCTTGTCTCCTTGAGGTTTGCCCCTTGGCCTCAAATCACCTCTGATGCCTGCATGGATCTCAGCACTGCAGCTCACACATGGTAAGAGCTCAAAACCCCTCATCTGAATAAGATGTGGGAGAGTAACTGTATCCTCTTGTTTGGGCATTTGGAAGATAGAACAGTTAATAATTTAGGAATGCTGGGGCAAAATGTAATTGTCACAGTTTTGTTAATCTAAGTGATTATTACTTGTTTTTGCCTGTTAAATGGTTTTTAATTTTTAATTTCCACTTTAACAGGCTTATTGAATATGTATGTTTTATTGTCAGAGTCTTTAAATCTATTGTAAATGCTATAGTGAAAAAATTATAAGCATGGTGTTAATGTATTTAGATACAACTTCTATTGTATCTGAACTCTTCCATCTTTAATTTAATGCATTTTCAGTTAACTAAATTGAGCCTTAACTTTCATTCTAGGAAGAAAATTTGTTTTAACATGTAATCTTGAGATCTATTACCCATAGCTGTTGGTGCTAATAAGATAATGATTCAACTTCTTTCCTGTGATGCAGGGCTGTGGGCTCTGTGA